TATTTATGAACACACATAACACATGTTGCTCACCGTAGTTCGGTATCTCCTTCCAGGTCAGTCCCATCTCTGTGTTTTTTCCTACTACACCAAATCGTGTGCTATGCTATTTTGAACCTAACAGATAGTAATATCCTTTCTTCCAGATGGTCATCTCTGTCCATTATCACCACAGAATGTTATTACATAGGAAGGCACTGTTGGAAATGAGCAGTAGTCAGGATGTAGGCAGAGAAGCTTGCAAGTGTGTTACTTTTCTAAATTTCTTTTTCTTTTTCTTTTTTTTTGGAGAGGTTTTTGCTATAGGTCGCGTGCACTCGCTAGACAGACAGAGAGAGACAGAGAGACAGAAAGTGAGAAATCACCCCCCAGGGGGGATGGCCACGCTGCAATCCCTTCTCCTCCATTCTCCTCTCGGGATCTTGGGCACACACGCACAAGCGCCCGGTGTCAGTTTAAGCCACTGGGTCCGGGACTCGAACCGCGGTCGACTACGTGGGAGTCCAGCGACATAGCCATTATGCTAACTTCTGGTCCCACTTTTCTAAATTTCTACTGTCAGCCTAAATAAATATTCTGTGCAAATTTTGAGAAACTCATGCATCCATACATTATGTTTTTGTACATTGCCATCTTGTCATCAGTAGCCCACTAACTGTTCGCAGTAATACTCATAAAATATGTAACTCTCCAATAATTTTGCACAATATCTGAAAGAAAAAGTAAAATGAAATATTACACCTATAAATATATGTTCAAATTTAGTAGCAGGCGTAGTACCAACGATTAGAGGTGCTAACATTTGGACAAAACCATCAATTGTGTTGACATGTTCTTATATTTTTAAAAACTTAATAAAGTCATTGTTGTCATTTCTAGTAATGAAAGCTGCAGGGGAATTATTTTAGCTTACTGTATGAATGCCAGTAAAAGGCTGTAGGAAGTAGAGTTATAAATATTTTAAAAGTTTAATATATATAGTAGAACAATATATTAATAGATCGTAGCTGTTAAAAAAAGCTAATGTTCAACATCTTTTTCCTGTATTTTATTTTCCAAACTTGAGGTAGGTATAGGGCTTTAAAAAAGAGTAAAGGGACACACTAGAGCTGTGGTGGTCACTTGGGTCGATAAGAGAAAGAAGGACACTTGCAGTGAAGTGGAGAATTAGGAGAGGAATGAAAGGATGCAGGGACACGTGTTGATGCCCTTAGTCTTTTCCTCCCTCTTTCCCTTTTCTTTCTCTCTCTCTGCCTTTTAAAAATTTGCCAGAGGGCACCTGAGCTTGCCACAGAACGACAAAGAGAGGGAGAGAGAGAAAGCACCCCCCATGGGACATGGCCATGCCACAATCCCTTTGTCATTTTTACATCTCTTCCGGCTTTTGATCGTGAGCTTACACATGCCTGGTGTGTTCTTCAAGCTGCCAGGCCTGGGACTTGAACCACACCATTAACCAGGTGGGATCTAGTTCTTTCAACCACCAGGCTACAGAACCAGCACTTTTTCTTTCATTTAAACATAAAATAGGACACCCTGTGGTGTAGTGAAGGCAGCTGGGTCCCACATGGCCAGCTGCACAGTTCGAGTCCTGGACCTGGTGGTTTGAGAAACATACTGGGCATGTGTGCTTGTGCGCTCCAGATCCCGAAAGGGGTGAGAGAAGGAGAAGAGATTGCAATGTGACTATTCCTCATAGGAGGTGTTCTTTTACTTTCCCTCTCTTTTTTGTCTCTCTTCAGCAAGCATGTGTGCTCATTGGCAATTTTTTTTTATGTGAAATACAGAAAGTGTCTGCTTTTACAGTTAACTGCTTGTTTCAATACAAATTAAAGACTATAATAAGATTTGTGGACTTAATAAGGTATACTAAGCATCGGTTTGACATTTTTCCTCTTAGAGCTTCTACTTATAGATTGACATAAATTGGGAATTCCTTGAATAATGCCAAAATGTTCTCCTTTAGGGTTTGCTACTGCATCATGCCCAAGTAGGTACAAGTAAATGTGACTTAATGATGATGAAAGAGTAATCGTTTTCAGGAAGAATTAATGCTCTTTATGCTTACATGGTATATGTCTCACAATGGTCTCAGTCACTGGAAAATAGAAATCTTGTTTGAACTTGAACTCTTAGTGTATAATTTATTTTTTTTGCTAGTTATGCTGTTGTAAGTTTTATATGCATTTAGAAAAATCGATTCATTTGACACAGTGACATATTCTCTACAAATTTGAATGTAATAGAACTAATTTTAACTTGTATAATTGGGAAGAATAACATTTATTGAACTTGAATAATAAATATAAGAACTTTTCAAGAGTATAAGTTTTATTTAGGAGTTTTTTTGTTTGTTCGTTTTTTTTTCTTTTTTTTTTTTTCCTGAGAGGTTTTTGCTATAGGGTGCATGTGCTCGCCAGACAGACAGAGAGAGACAGAGAGATGGAAAGTGAGAAATCACCCCCCAGGGGGGATGGCCACGCCACAATCCCTTCTCCTCCATTCTCCTCTCGGGATCTTGGGCACACACGCACACACGCCTGGCGTGAGTTTTAAGCCATCGGGTCCGGGACGTGGACCGCGGTCGACTACGTGGGAGTCCAGTGACATAGCCATTACGCTAACTGCTGGTCCCTATTTAGGAGTTTTATGACTAGGGCTCACTGTATATTTACTTACTCTATAGTTTTTGCTGCATGGGAAGGTAATTGTTAGTGTATAGAGCCCTTGAAAAATTAGAATGTTAGCACAAAAAGTCTTTATGACAAATGTATTGTCTGAATGCTTACAGTTAAGTAATTTTATTTTGAACTTCTGAAAGCATTAATATCTAAACATTTTCTTAGTTTCCTTTCAAAGTAAATCAACAAATAAACTCAAGATAAAATATCATTAATTCCTTGGGGTGGGTGTGGGGAATGGTATAGCCTGCTTCAAGATTTGCTTTTGGGAAATTACTTGGAAGTCAAGGAATCTCAAGTGGAATATCTCAGAACACTTTGCTCTAATACATTTTGTAAGGCAATTAAATCTTGACATGTAAAGACATGTAGCAATTTCAAAGAGGAATGAGGAAGTTTTATTTCTTTTCACAGGAAGGTCTATTAATAGATCATTTCTGTTTGTTGAATATTTGAAAAACACTGTCTATGGACCAGCAGTTGGCATAATGGTTACATCACTGAATTCCCACGTAGTTGACCATTGTTCGAGTCCTGGACTGGGCAGCTTAAAACTCAGGTCAGGCATGTGTGCATGCACGCCCAAGATCCTGAGAGGAGAATGAAGAAGGGATTGAGGCGTGGCCATGCCCCGGGAGGGGGGGAGTCGGTGATTTCTTGCTTTCTGTCTACCTGTTGATGAGTACATACATCCTATAGCAAAAATCTCTCTTAGAAAAAGAAAAAGAAAAACATTGTCTAGAACATATACTGATACAGTTATCCTATTGTATTGTCTTTCTACTTTTCATGCCCAAGTAGGTACACGTAAATGTGACTTAATGATGATGAAAGAGTAATCGTTTTCAGGAAGAATTAATGCTCTTTATGCTTACATGGTATATGTCTCACAATGGTCTCAGTCACTGGAAAATAGAAATCTTGTTTGAACTTGAACTCTTAGTGTATAATTTATTTTTTTTGCTAGTTATGCTGTTGTAAGTTTTATATGCATTTAGAAAAATCGATTCATTTGACACAGTGACATATTCTCTACAAATTTGAATGTAATAGAACTAATTTTAACTTGTATAATTGGGAAGAATAACATTTATTGAACTTGAATAATAAATATAAGAACTTTTCAAGAGTATAAGTTTTATTTAGGAGTTTTTTTGTTTGTTCGTTTTTTTTTCTTTTTTTTTTTTTCCTGAGAGGTTTTTGCTATAGGGTGCATGTGCTCGCCAGACAGACAGAGAGAGACAGAGAGATGGAAAGTGAGAAATCACCCCCCAGGGGGGATGGCCACGCCACAATCCCTTCTCCTCCATTCTCCTCTCGGGATCTTGGGCACACACGCACACACGCCTAGCGTGAGTTTTAAGCCATCGGGTCCGGGACGTGGACCGCGGTCGACTACGTGGGAGTCCAGTGACATAGCCATTACGCTAACTGCTGGTCCCTATTTAGGAGTTTTATGACTAGGGCTCACTGTATATTTACTTACTCTATAGTTTTTGCTGCATGGGAAGGTAATTGTTAGTGTATAGAGCCCTTGAAAAATTAGAATGTTAGCACAAAAAGTCTTTATGACAAATGTATTGTCTGAATGCTTACAGTTAAGTAATTTTATTTTGAACTTCTGAAAGCATTAATATCTAAACATTTTCTTAGTTTCCTTTCAAAGTAAATCAACAAATAAACTCAAGATAAAATATCATTAATTCCTTGGGGTGGGTGTGGGGAATGGTATAGCCTGCTTCAAGATTTGCTTTTGGGAAATTACTTGGAAGTCAAGGAATCTCAAGTGGAATATCTCAGAACACTTTGCTCTAATACATTTTGTAAGGCAATTAAATCTTGACATGTAAAGACATGTAGCAGTTTCAAAGAGGAATGAGGAAGTTTTATTTCTTTTCACAGGAAGGTCTATTAATAGATCATTTCTGTTTGTTGAATATTTGAAAAACACTGTCTATGGACCAGCAGTTGGCATAATGGTTACATCACTGAATTCCCACGTAGTTGACCATTGTTCGAGTCCTGGACTGGGCAGCTTAAAACTCAGGTCAGGCATGTGTGCATGCACGCCCAAGATCCTGAGAGGAGAATGAAGAAGGGATTGAGGCGTGGCCATGCCCCGGGAGGGGGGGAGTCGGTGATTTCTTGCTTTCTGTCTACCTGTTGATGAGTACATACATCCTATAGCAAAAATCTCTCTTAGAAAAAGAAAAAGAAAAACATTGTCTAGAACATATACTGATACAGTTATCCTATTGTATTGTCTTTCTACTTTTCCATCATTAATGTTTTTTATATATATATATCCTTTTCTTTTAGTTGGATATGTCAGGTGATCAGATAGCTGCCAATCTGCAAGCAGTTATTAATGAAGTTTGTAGGCATAGACCTCTGAGTTTGGGTAAGTAATTTGTTGAGAATATGCTTCCTTATAACCTTGATACTTTAAAAAATGTAAAATATTAAGAAAACAACCAAGTTAAAACACAAAACACAATGGTATGTCCAAGGATTAAGTAAATATGATAAAATCTAAATCTCCAAAATATTCCTGATTTCCTTATTAGTGACTTGTAGTTGTTTAGAGAGGAGACAATAATAAGGAATATATCCTGAAACCTTTATAAATTCTTAAACTATTTCTGTCACTAAATATAATAAAGTTTGGAAGAAAACTATAATTCATTGCTTTAAACTCAACCATGGTGTTAAATAAGAACTAAAATAACTTATGAAGTGATATTTTAAAACTAGATTATTCACTCTGTCACTGACACTAGTAGTTGGCTTTCTTAATCTTATTTACTTATTTTAGAAAAGAAGGAAGGTCATTTTTATAATGTCATGAGATTCACTTTCCTGAAATGGAGGATTGACGGAGAATCAGTTATGTGATCAAGACGTGGAAGCTGTGGAATAGGCCCGAACTTGGGCTGGTCCAGCTCCCTAACTGTTTGCAATTTGCACCATTTGAATTCTTTCCTTAGACCAATTTCACTTGTGGATGGTTGAAGCCAAGCAAGGGTCCGTTACACTCAATTGATAGTTCACTTATTGTTTTACCATGACAGGGATTTGTCAGGTTTAGTTTTATAACTGAGTTTATACTTAAAACACACTCTTAAACTATATCTCACTGCCTTTGGAAGTTAAATACACTGGCAAATAAGTATCATTTTTAAATTCTGTTGTTCTTACTATGACTCTAATACTTGATAACTGTGTATGTATGAATTCTATGAAATTTTTTTTTCTTAAAGTTCATTTGTTCTGGGAACCAGCAGTTAGCATAATGGCTATGTCGCTGGATTCCCACGTAGTCGACCGCGGTTCACGTCCCGGACCCGGTGGCTTAGAACTCACGCAGGGCGTGTGTGCGTGCGTGCCCAAGATCCTGAGAGGAGAATGGAGGAGAAGGGATTGCGGCGTGACCATCCCCCCTGGGGGGTGATTTCTCGCTTTCTGTCTCTCTGTCTCTCTCTCTGTCTGGTGAGTGCACGCGCTCTACAGTGAAAACCTCTCAAAAAAAAAAAAAGTTCATTTGTTCTTGCTTCTATGAGTGTGAGAGAGAGAGAAAGAGACAGAGCTATAGAGACAGCACCCCCAACAGGATCTTAACGTTGCGATCTACCCGAGCCTTCACCTGGCCCTATCGTGGGCACATGTCTGCCTGGCATACCCAGGAAGGTCTCCAGATGTGATCCGGGAACTCCTTCATGTGGTTCAGCCTCACAGCGTCGGCGTCGGGTTTTACTGCTGTGCCACCACCTGGCTCCCAATTCTTGTATTCCATGGACAACTTTGGTTTTCCTTTGGAGCCTCTGAGACTGTAGCAGGAGTAGGACGATGGGACATAAACCCTGTAAGCAGTGTTGTTATTCTTTTTTCCATTTTGGATGAAGTCTCTTCACCTATTTAGAAGTTATTATATGAATTTTTTTTTTTGCCATTTTATATGGAGCCCCTTAACATTCTTAAGAAAAGTTTTTTAATCTTTAGGGGAATTTTACCAACTGTTTGCTAACACAAAGGTAGCATCTGTGCTGTCTTAAATAAATATTTAACACATTTCCAGCAAATGTAAATATCAACACCTGTTCCCTTCACTGTTAACTTTGCAATAAAATAAATTCTAGGTGGTTATGTTTTAGAAAACAGAAATGATATCATTGTAAAACCAGGACAATTTTATAACTTTTTTTCTACATAGCTGTTACATGTAGGGCAATCTCTCTTTAGGCAGGGGTGAATTACCCTTAAAGAAAAAAATAAAAAGGAATCCTAGATAGTTTTCTCTTTAAGTCAGACATTGTTTAAATAAATTTCTTGTTTAAATGAAAAAAAGAAAACAGAAATGAATTATTAGTGAATATATGTAGTTTCAAAGATAAGTCTCTAATATTTTATAGTACAATTAGTTTGTCTTCTACTTTGGAAATGAAACTGTCTTTTCTCTCTCTCTCTCTCTCTCTCTTTTAAATTTTGCCAGAGGGCATATGCTCACCAGAGACAGAGGAAAGGGAAGAGGGGGAAGGCCCTACACTAATGGGGTGTGATCATATAGCAATCCCTTCTCTTTCATTTCTTCATCTGCCAGGGTTTTGGATACACACATCATACGTACACACACACACACACACACCCACACACACCTGAAGTTGTTGTTTTATTTTTAAGTTTTTGCCATAGGGTACATGTGCTCACTGGAGAGAGACAGAGAGGAAAGTGGGGGATCATCCTACAAGAGGGATAGTCACACTGTAGTTCCTTCTCTATTCTTCTCTTGGGATTTTGGGCACATGTTCCCACACACTTCTGGTGTATGTTTCAAACACTTGAACCACCGTTGGTCATATGGAAATCCAGGGCCTTTTCTACCACACTACCTGCTGGCTCCAAGCCTGGATTTTTTTATTTTTTTTTTTTTTTTTTTTTGAGGAGATTTTTGCTATAGGGCGTGTGCACTCTCTGGAGAGACAGAGTCAGAAAGTGAGGAATCACCCCCTGGGGAGGATGGCCATGCCACAATCCCTTCTCCACTCTCCCAGGATTTTGGGTTCATGTGCACACATGCATGACATTAGTTTTAAGCCGCTGGTACAGGGCTTGAACCATGGGCTCTTATGTTGGAGTCTAGGAATGTAACCATTATGCCACCTGCTGGTCCCAAGCATGGATGATTTTTCTTTTCTTTTTTTTTTTTTGGAGAGGTTTTTGCTATAGGGCACACGTGCTTGCCAGAAAGAGAGAGACAAAGAGATGGGAAGCGAGAAATTGTTCCCCATGTGGGATGGCCATGCCGCAATCCCTTTTCCTCCATTCTCATCTCAGGATACTTGGCACGCATGCACACGTGCCCGGCATGAGTTTAAACCACTGGGTCCGGGACTCGAACCGCAGTTGACTACATGGGAGTCCAGCAACATAGCCATTACACCAACTGCTGGTCCTAAGCCTGGACGATTTTTAAGTCATCAGGGCCAGGATCCAAAATGTGTTGTTGACCATGCAGGATCTAGCTCCCTTAACCGCCAGGCCACAGGATCAGCTTTGCTTTCTTATTCAAAATATTAGTTCAGTAATACAGTACTTAGTACTTTTCAAGTGAAAATATAAAACAAGCCCTATAAGATTCCCTGTTGTATATTTATACTTGCTTATGGAGTATATATAGAATAAAATAAAAATTCATTCTTGTTTTTGTTTCCAGGTCCCTTTGTGGTACGTGCTTTTCTTCGTAGTTCAACAAGTGAAGGTTTATTACTAAAGATCGAGCCATTGTTACCTAAAGAAGTAGAAACCGAAGAAAGTGAAAAAGAAGCTGCCTAAAGTGTTGAATTGTGAAATTATTTTAAGTGGATTAAGAAGCAACAGAGACAATTATAAAGCCATATAATTTCTACATTTGGTGTCTTATCGTTCCTTGATCATCACACTTAGAAGTGAATTTTAGGGGTGAGGTGGTGGCACAGTGGTAGCTCAGCTGAACCCATGTGGGAAAGGATCTGGGTTTGCATCCTGGAACCTCCTTGAGCACTCCGGCCATGTGTGCGAGTGTCTCTGATCCAGCCAGCCGTGATTAGAGAGAGGTGGGCTGTGGCATGAGGACCATGTTGGGGTGCTTGTCTCTGTCTCATGAAGTGAATAAATCAATATTTTTTAAAGTGACTTTCAACGCTAAAAATGTTACAATTTCAGAAATAAGAAAATAAAATTGTCTCTCTAAACCTGCCTTTTAGATCCTAACACATTTTCTTCCTTAGACTCTAGAATCTATATACTAGTAATTATGACCACAATTTCTAGCTTAACAATGTTCCTTTGGGAGCCATAACCATCTGAGGGGATAATAACATCCTCAGTACACAGAGGCAGAGAACACTATGTCATAAGTACCACTATTTTCTGAAGAAAAAGGTGGAAAGTATTTATTCTAAAAAATTTTGAGAGGGTATCAGGTGACGTGGTGGTCAACCATGCTGGACTCCCACATGGCCAACCGCAGTTTGAGTCCCGGACCTGGCGGCTTGCTTTCTCACTTTGCAATGCTCTATTTGTATTTTTTGTAGTAATGACACCTTGTATTTTTATTATGCTTTCCACTGTACAAGGTGCTGTGTATAGTGTTTTCATATGCTTGACCTTGTTTGATCCTGAATCCCTCTGCTTAATGGGATCATAGGTGCTTGGTTAGTGTTTGCTGGAAGATCATCCCCGTGAGGAAGCAAGGACAGTTTTACTCATGGATGAAGAAGCAGGTGAAGACGGTAAGTGTCTTTCTTCAAGTGCCAGTTTGCAGACTGGTATTGATCCTTAAGTGTTTACTTGTATGTTTCAGAATGAATAAAAAAAATAAGGATAATTTTCACATGCAGTTGCCAGTTGTCCTGTCTTGGAAATAATTTCCTTCACTCTGAGTTTAACCCCCCCACACTTATTAGGGAGTATTCGAATGCCTTATCTCTCATAAAATAATAACAGTGGCAAATTTGTTGGTGAGTTTTAGTAACAACCACTTTGTAAGGAAAATTTGGACAAATTTGTATAGGTCTTGCCAATGGATTTTGAAATTTTAATGGTCTGGGAAGTCCAAATAACTATGAGCAACTGCTAAGCCCACAAGCTTTTCTTATCACAAGAAAATTTAACTTTAGGGACTGTTTACCAAAAACAGTAATAACGGGCCAGCAGGTGGCATAGTGACTGGGGTGCTGGATTTCTGCCGGGTTGACTGTAGTTCAAGTTCTGGACTTGGTGACTTGAAACTCATGCCAGACATGTGTACTACATGCATACCCAACATTCTGAGAGAATGTTGGAGAAGGGGTTGTGGTGTGGTCACCCCCCCACCACCACCACCACCGCCCAGGGAGTGATTTTTTTGCTTTCTGTCTTTCTGGAGTGTGGCCTATGGCAAAAATGTCTTCAAAACAAAAACAAAAACAGCAGTTGCATTACTACAAAGCAGTAACTGCCATTACCTTTTATCGGGTGCCTACTACTGTGTTATGGTTTACATGCATCTTCCCATTTCATCCTCACAACAGTGTAGTGAGGAGAGGGGTACTCTCATTTTACAGGTTAGGAACTGAAAACTCGTGTGAGGTCCCATGTGTGGCAGATTTAAGATTTAGACCTAGATCTGGTTTGAAGCCCTTAGGCTCTCTTAGTCATTCCCTTAACCATTGCTCTATTTCTCCTCTTCTCTATCTGTTCTAAAATAAAATAAGATCAATGTAATGGAACAATTTAAACATTGAAAATATTGAATAATTACACTTCAGTTTCTTTCTTTCTCTCCCTCCCTCTTGCCCTCTTTCTTTTTGTCATAGGGGTTATGTACTCATTGGGGGGAGAGAGAGACACACAGAGGGAAAGTGAGAAATCACTCCCAGGGGGGATGGCCACCCCACCATCCCTTCTTTATTCTCTTCCTGGGATTTCGGGCACCCATGCACATGTATCTGGCATGATTTTCAAACTGCTGGGTCCAGGACTTGAACCACGGTCAGTCATGTGGAAGTCCAGCAACCCAACCACAACATCATCTGCTTGCCCCACATTTTAGTTTCTTGGTGTCTCTAGTTAAAGGACTATGACAGGAGAACCAGCAGATGGCATAATTGCTGGACTCCCATATGGACGACCACAGTTCAAGTCCCAGAGCCAGATACTTAACACTGGGTGTATGTGCCCCAAATCCCAGGAGGAGATTGGAGGAGAAGGGATTGTGATGTGGCCATCCCCCCTGGGAGGCAATTTTTCATTTTCTGTGTCTCTGTCTTTCTGGTGAGTACATATGCCCTATAGCAAAAATCTCTGAAAAATAATAAAAAGGGACTATGGCAGGACTGATGTGAAGGAAGTAGAAATGGAAGATTTAGGAGGAGTAGGTTGAGAAGAGAAGGGCAGTATGGAGAGGATACCGACTTCTTTCCTACATTTAACCATCTTTGAAAGCTTAGTGATTAGTCATTATTTGACAATCCTAACTCGCAGAGTAGATGCTCTGTTACTTGGTTTGTATGTTTTCTTCTGACTAAAGGAGTACATATTCTCTTTATTGAAAAATTTGAAAACACTGATAAATATGTTTTAAAATCACTCACAGTCTTACTACTCAGAGATAATCATTATTAATAGTTCAGTGTTTTCCTTTATTGTCTTTGATTGAGAGAGAGTGTGTGCATGCATACATGGTGTTAGAGTAAGCATTTCCTTCTCATTTTAAAATCTCACTGGAAAACTATCATCTTAATGGTTGAGCAATAGTCTATCCTTTTGGTGTCCTAGTTTATGGGATCATTTTCCAATTATTGGGCATTTAACTCTCCTTGCTCCCACTCTATCTTCCCACCCTGCTATTTACAATGCTTTAGAGAAAATCTTGGAGCATAATAATTTTCCTCTCTGTTTCTACATCGGGTCAAAAGGTATGCCGTAGCCTTATTATGTCTTATAAAGGTGCCTTATTCATCAGAACAAACCAAAATAAAGAAACATGTTTTGGAAACTTGCTCTGGGCAGGACCATTCTGAATTCTTACTAACCGGCCTTTGAGTAAACCATTTCCTACCCTTCCTTCCAGTAGAGCATTTTTTCTGGTGACTAGCTAAAACTTTGTTGAATGACGTGCTCCTGGAAAGATTGTATTAGGTCACTGGGAAAGTCATGACGTAATTCTCTATGTAAAAATGTGTTACGACTTTCCCAGTGACCCAATAGAATTGTGCTATGTTACTCTTAATACACATTTTTTCTTCTTATTTTCTTCTTCAAGAACCCTAAATATTGGGAACCAGCAGTTAGCGTAATGGCTATGTCGCTGGACTCCCACGTAGTCGACCGCGGTTCGTGTCCCAGACCCGGTGGCTTAAAACTCACGCCGGGCGCGTGTGCGTGCGTGCCCAAGATCCCAAGAGGAGAATGGAGGAGAAGGGATTGCGGCGTGACCATCCCCCCTGGGGGGTGATTTCTCACTTTCTGTCTCTATGTCTCTCTCTGTCTGTCTGGCGAGCGCACGCGCCCTATAGCGAAAACCTCTCAAAAAAAAAAAAGAACCCTAAATATTTAAAAAGGGTAAGAACTTAAACATTTTTTAGTAAGTATTAGTGATTCTCAAACTTCAGGGAGCTTCCAAATCATGTGGAAGGCTTGCAAAACAAATTACCTGGTTCCCCCCAGCAATCTGGAATGGACCTTGAAAATTCGCTTTTCTAACTAGGTAATGATGATGATGCTGGTTGGTTCAAGACCACACTTTGAGAGCTACTGGTGTCTGCTAATCATTCTTTTTATTTACTCTTTTAAGAATTATTTATTTAATTTCATTGTTATCATTATCATTATTATTTTTTAATTTGACCAGAGAGAGATAGAGTGAATAAGAAGAGGAGAAAGCAAGTCACCAGGTCTAGAACTTGAACTACGGTCGGCCATGTGGGAATCCAGCGCCTTGAAGCACCATGCCATCTCCTAACCTCGCTAATCATTCTTTTAACCTTGGCTGGATAAAAATGTTATAAACCTTGGCTGACTGTAGTACCATCATCAATTTTTTTTTTTCTTTTGAGAGAGATTTTTGCTCTAGGGCTCATGTACTCACCAGAGAGACAGAAAGTGAGGAATCTCCCCCCGCAGGGGGGATGGCTAAGTCGCAATCCCTTCTTCATTCTCCTTTTGGGATCTTGGGCATGCACACACACGTGCCCAGTGTGAGGTTTAAGCCACCAGGTCCAAGACTTGAACTACGGTCAACTACTTGAGAGTCCAATTACAACGATTATGTCATCTGTTGGTTCCAACATCAATTTATTTTAAAATTCCACAGATTATTCTGATACACTAGGATGGAGAATCACTGGTATATGTAGTTGCCCAAATTATAAGTCAAGATAAGAAAGATAGGGCCAGGCCCCTAGCCTAGTGGTTAAGAGAATTGGATCCCACATGGCTGACCATGGTTTGAACCCCAGCCCCCATGGCTTGAAAAAAAACACTGGGCATTTGTATGTGACAGGATGGAAAAGTGAAGGAGAAAGGGTTGTGGCACAACTACGCCCCATTAAAGGGTGCTTTCTTTTTTCCCTCTTTGGCAAGTGCACATGCCCTGTGGCACCTTAAAAAGGGAGGGGACACAATAAAAAGATTAAAAAAGATAATACACTAAACTTGAGAGCCGGGGCCAATTTTCAACTTTCTAGTGTATCTTTATGTATAAATAATTTAAATGATTCGCTTTAACCTTGTGAGCAAAGAATTCAAGTTATGGAATCATCTGTTAAAAAGGGAAATTATGGGGACTAGCAGTTGGCGTAATGGCTATGTCGCTGGGCTCCCACGTAGTCAACCGCGGTTCGAGTCCCGGACCCGGTGGCTTAAACTCACGCCGGACGCGTGTGCGT